TATTTTGTTTTATGCGACAAAAAGAATGCTGCAAAGCTTTTAGTGCACGTCCGGCACATTCGAAAACAAAAGAGATATTCCCCAAGCGGCTACGCCTTGTCAATCCGTGTTGAAAGGATGAATACGGGAATTGTGTAATGAAGCTAAAACACCACACAAAATGTTGCTAAGAATTTGTACTACGATCGACTAAAATCAAAAAAGAAAACAAAACCATGCGTATCAAACAGATGTTTATTTAACAAATGTTTTTTGAATAATTAAATACATTCCCATTGTTACAATATATTCGAAACATCTTATTATTTACTAGTAAAGTATTCATAATAGATTCTGAATAGCTGTAGTCATTATCAACGAAAACAAAGGCCCAAGAAAAATATATACATAACGTTTATTTAATTGATTCAGCAATACTAACTATTGTGCCCAAGAATGATGTTAATATTTTTTTGAGGTATAAAATATTTTTTGGTTCGACTTTTTTTACTTCTTCGAACATTACTGCAATAAAGTTATTTTCGACGTGAGGCCAAAATGTTTCAGATTATTCTTATTCAATGAAGTTAGAAAATGGCAGTTGATGTAATACACTTATGGACGGTTTCCCAGCTACCTTTAACCATTCGTTAGTGTTATTGGCTCCATAACTTGATGAAATGCGTTTCCGAACTACGTAACATGTATCTTACTCCTTTGAATCTTAGTTCAACCAAACACTAATGAATCACTAAGTAATTATTAAATAAATGGTAACTTCACCAACCAAGCATTAGAATAGTAGCAGTTTATGTAGATTCTAAGATATATCATGCCTGTACTTATAAAAGTATAACCCAAGGTCACTTTATCTCAAGCACATTCATTAGACTTATCTCAGTATTAGGTATGTCGCAAGTTAATGCATCGATTGGTGCCGACTAGTCTTGTAATACTAGTACTTGTTTTTAGCAAGCTGATTTTAATCAATCAAGTATGAAGTAAAGGTTGGTCTTTGAATGAAATATTTAGAACTGTGAAGGTTGTTTTTCATACAAGGCTGGCAGTACGCTGTAACTTTTAATTCTTTGGGAGATGTCACAAATTTTACTTCTTAAAGTGCCGAGGTTTCGAGGTTGGCGATCATCACAGAAATCTACTCTATCGAAAACGCGACTCTAAGGGTGTTCTTTCCGGACCCCTGGCATATTTTATTGAATTTGAAACTTTTATAATTCAATAAAATACAAGTTGGCTTTTTAATTATTTTGTTTTTAAGGAAAAATGTTCTGTCTTTATTGCAATTGTTTCCCGATAAGAACTTATCAGAATTTAAGCCCATGTCTCTATAACAGTATGATGATATTGGGTCATCATCACAGCAACATCACCAACTAACCTACCCTAAGTTAAGGTGACTAGGATATAGTCAACCACGCTTCTTGGTCTTTGAATTTCTTCGCCGATTTTGTGCAGATTGCATAACGATGTTGCCCTTCGCTGTAAGAATGTCGGGTAAATTATGTTACATGGGATTTCTAAAAATCGAAAATCACATTGGTTCATAGCGGAATTCAAACCCAGACCTCTAGATTACAAGTCAAGTACTTAAACCCTTGAGCCACATATTAATTTTAACTATTAATTCTTACGTAACAATACGAAGTAATTTATTATTATCGTATGACACTTATTGGACCTTCACCTACCGATAAGTTATCCAACATTCGATGTATATGCGATATTTATTAGAGCTTAACAAAGATTTAAATTTCAAGACTTTGAATATCAAAATTTTAAAAGTAACGTAATTACGCGAACACCGAAGACTGGAACTGGTGATGCAAATGTGAATACACCGTGGGATGAAATTGCGTCTATCGTTAAAATACTGTATTTGCGTAAATATACCGAAAATCTATTCCAACGAATAAGATAAAAAGCATTGCCTACACTTGAAGAAATAAATTGGAGCACGCAAAAAATTACTCTATCTTCCATCTAAAAGTGTCCCATTTGTTTCTCGAAGCGCGTGGGACGAGGGTTTTGACAAGCTTATGACTTATTTCTCAGGACCGATGATAAATTGAGAGGCATGAGTGTTGCTTATGGAATTAACTTATATATTTATGTTATATGATATTGTTATATTTGCGGTTTCGGCAAATTTATCGAACCGCGGAGCTTAAAGCTTACTTAGATTTTTGGACTCGAATCACTGAAAAGACGGTGATTTTAGTGACATGACCTTTTTAATATTATCGTCTATATGAAAATCAGATTACGCAAACCGTTACGAAAAATAAAGAATCAATAACACATTTTTAAAATTACCGTATAATATTAATAACCCTTTTCACAAAAAGATACGAACGTCGATAAGATATTTTATTCCGCGGCAGTTTTCTCGTTTCTTTTTCGATATTACCCACAATTTTTTTTCAATTCAGGGAAAACAATTGCTCGTTTAACTGTCCGATGTCAACTTCATTAAAAAAGTTCCACCTTTATCCTGAAAATACGAAAATGCAGGTGGAGTAGTGCAAATCTCACCAACTGAAGGTACGACTAAATTCATCCTGTTCACCGCATATTGTCTGTTATAAATATTTAAAGTCCTAAAGTACGTAATTAAAACACATCTTAAGATTCAATTTGTAAAGTTACTTACCATTTTTCTGATAAATTACTTAAATGCAACTTAAAAGTGCGTAATGCGTAAAAAAAAAAACAAATGGTAAAGGGTTAGTTAAATGGTGAATATTAAATAAATTCACAGTTCAGTAAAGCAAATAAACAGACTAATAAATGATTTCAATTCATTAAAAACATTTAACATTTAAAATAAGCTTGCATTAGTTGCAAAACATTTGTTTAAATAACAGAAAGTTAGATCTTACCTGTTAACAAGATCAGTATAAACGCCCTCATGTTGGTTTTCATATCGGGACTGCTGCTAATCGACAGACGCCAATGATTACAAGACGGGCGGCGTTGCCATTGTCGTAACTTTGTAAGGCCAATGTTTACGCGACTCAGCTGACGTCCTCAACGTTCGCCAAAGCACACACTCGCGCACTGCGGGACCCGCACGCTGCGGTGTCAACGGCCACAAGCTTACGAGAAAAACCAGATATTCGGGGAAAGCTGTCCTCTTCAAATACTACGGTCGTAGCCGCCGCAGCCGATGGTATTACGCGCGATGGTCATTCATGTTTCTTAACATCGGAAGCTAACTGACAGTTGATATCAGTGATGAAAACATGACACGCGACCGGAGAGATGATCCCGCGCGCGTTCCGTAGCCCACGACGGCTGACTCGCGAGTTGCGTGAGCGAGCTTCGTGCCGGCGGGGGCGGGATGCGGGGTGCGGGGCCCGCGCCTGCGCGCCTCTCCCACCGCCCCCGCACCGCCCGTACCGCGCCACCTACAGTATTGACCGACGACGCCTCCTTCCCACTCCTTTCCACATTTCACATCCTTAACTAGGCACTACGAATTCTCCCTTGAAAAAACCCTTAATACACCCCCATATTATTTGACCGAAAATGAAGTTAACGGACAAATCGTTACAACCTTTAGATAAGAAATTGAGAAAACAAAAATCAATAAAACAATCACTCCAAGTATTGCAAGCAAAGAAAATTATTGAGTTAATATCAATACTACTGAAATATCCCTATACTTTGAAATTAAAATCCACAATATAATTTAAAAAATATACCTTACACATATCACTGGTAACTACTTGACATTTCATTTGGAGATACCATTTACACAAATGAAGAAGAAATGAAAAACATGTCGCAAAGGCTCACTTGACCTTTACATTAAAGACGTAGGTACTTAAGTACTACTCACTAAGGGTGAGCTTTCTTTAAGTCAGGTGGTACATTATCCTTTATTCAAGCGTTGCTTAGCTTGTTTTTAACCAATAAGTTACTACAATCTACAAATAAATAATACTAAATGAATATGAAGGATTTTTGATATGTGAGGGTATAAAAGTCTACGTCCTTGCCAAGTAAGACATTGATCTAGCGTCCTAGAGACTACGTCTAGGACCTATTTGGCTTAGAACACTTTTAATGACCAGTGACGTCAAAAATTGCGTCATAGCCTTTCATTTTACGCTTTACGCTAATGCTAGATTATTTATATGTACTCTACCATTATATTATACTTTATACTAATATTATAAATGCGAAAGTTCAGATGGATGGATGGATGTTTGTTAGAGATTGTAGCATAAACGGCAGAACGGATTTCGCTGAAATTTTGTATAGATGTAGAGGGCAGTCTGGAAGAACACATAGGCTACTCACTTTTGTTTTTTAATCCACGCGAACGGAGTCGCGGGCAAAAGCTAGTATGACATATTTTTATTACAATTTAGGGTATTAATTATTACTGTAAAAAGAATAAAGAAATATTATATGTCCATATGCTTGATTTTCAACACAGAGTTAGTTAAAATAGACTCTTAAAATATTCAGTACTATGTTTCTAAGGGAATGTTTTTAAATTGAATGCTTGGTAAAACTCTAATTTTCATGTTTGCCAAGTGCTGCTTGTGGTGTTCCAGTTTAAATGTCTACGAATTAAGAACAAAGTAGTGCCAAAAATTATGCAATATATAGTTCTATGTTCAAACGAATTTGACCCTATTTTTTGGGTTAAGTTTGTCATATTTCGATTTACATATGAACAGTTTTAAATTCTTTTAGATATTAACGAAAGTTTCAATGGCAGTTTAATTGAGGGAGTAGCTGATTATTCCTGTGGGAAGGATATGAAAATTCTGGTCACCACAGTTATCAATCGTCAACCATTAACCAATCAGAGAACCGATATTGTTTTTTTTCTTTCGACGTAAGCACTGAAAACCAATAAACGAAATTTTTGCATACTAACTCCATTTTCGTGTCTACCAATTTGACACACCAATTGAGATCCTTAAAAGCATTTAGGTATTAGGATAGTGAAAAAAACTAAATAAAATATTATGTTTAGTTATTGAGAAATTTATTAATACATTTTTTACCATATAACAAATTTAATATTTCGCTGCTTGTCTGTCTCTCTTGGCCTTAGCAGCAGCTTGCGTAAGTTGTTTGCGTATTTCAAATGCAATAACAGCGGCCGCCATTCCCGTGTTCAAACTGTCCACGCCTTTTTGAAGAGGTATATGCAATCTAGCACCATTACTGTTTACTCCTAATCTGTGTAATGTACGAAATGTTCTTATATAGATTAAACACAAGAGATTAAGCCTGTTACATACGTTAAAACTGAACGTCTTTGGCAGCATGAGCAGAAAATATGATATATTAGCTGTCCGACTCCATTCTTCCAGGCTATATTCTACAACAATGCCAAATTTCACCGAGATTCGTTTAGCCGTTCAGGCTACAAACTCTAACAGACATCCATCTAGCCATCAAAAATTTCGCATTTAGAAGACTGTCGCCCACGGCTCCATCCGCGCGAAATAAAAAAATACATTAGTAGCCAATTATGTCGAGACTATGTTCTACATCTATGCCATGTTTTAACCAGATCCATTGAGCCATTCATGAGATACCATATAACATCCATCAATCCATGCATCCATCCATCTAAACTTTTGCTTTTATAATATAAGTAAGATGCAGGATTTTGCACATCAAGATTCATTGGCTTATTTGTATAAAAAAAAAACGTAAAAACTAATTACTTCAAAATCTTACCTATAGCTCATTTCACTAACACTTTCAGTCTCTCCACCTATAATAAGAGTAACATGATTTAATGAGGCAAAATCGACCCCATAATATGGCAACACCGGTATTTCAGATCCAACTTTGCTTGTTTCTTCAGTTTCATTTTCGACAAAGTCAGTGTTGCTATCAGCAATAAAGAGTGAAGTGTCAGAAGGTAAATGTTGTGGCATTTCCTCCCAATCTATTGAAGAATATATAGGAAGTCTGAAGTGAGCTCCGGCTGCACTCCTTATTACTTTCGAATCCCAGATATCAACACAGCCTAGAACAAAATACATGAACATTAAATGCCACTAACTTACCTAGCAATATCATTGTAATAAAAATACATAGAATATATCAACTATTATTTAATGAAAAAAAAAGTTGTCTATGGCACAGTTTTTTAAATAATTATCTAATGTGATTATATCAAAGTTGTGTGTTTCGTTTCTTACCTTTGCTTAATAAAACCTTCTCACAACCAACACCAACAGCTGCTCGGAGTATGGCACCCAGGTTACCTGGTACTCTTATATTATCACACAGAAATTGAAGAGGTAAAGGTTTTGAAAATCTCCTTATTTGTTCTGGTGTTGGCATTTCAAACACACCTGGAATTTTTATAAATAAACATTAAATTTAAACACCATTAAAATTATAAACCCAAATGTTAATTTCTAATACTATTAATTAGAATTTTACTCCTCTTTAATTTACACTGTAACAAGAAACAATTCAATATAAACTGTTAGTCCAAAAAATAAATTAAAAACCAAAACCGTAAGGCAAAGGTAAGTCTCGCAACAAACAGAAGTACAGACAGCTACATCTTACTTTAGTTACAACTAGCTGTTGCCTGTGACTTTATCCACAAAATATAAAGATAAAAAAGTACCCTATAATATGTGAGTCTATATGAAATGCGACTTACGAATAGACAGACATTGATAAATTTTTAAATGTGATTTTCGTTATCAGCAACACAAACACATCATATTCCCAAAATCTGAAAATTTTCTTTAGAGAATAAAGACACTAGAATTATATTATATGTATAGATTACTTACCCACAATACCAGGGCTTGTTTCCACATCTGACCACAGTTCCATTTCCTTATATGGTATTTTATATATCTGTACACCAGTTTTTGGCAGAAATGGCCTTAAATTATTTAAATCTTCAATACGACTGAATAAAATATATTGTATGTTACATTTGGCTTCCAAACCATCAACTATCATACGCCAACCTTCTACCATTATTTGGTTACTGCGCAGCCTTTCCTTTTTAGATTTTAATTTCACAAAGAGTGAGCTGGAAAATGTAAAAATTAGTAAATTAATGAATTCTATATCGACAACTTTTGTATGTACGCATAATATATAAAATTGTATACATTGCATTATAAAATAACTTATGTGTATTACCTTATTTTAGAATCATTATCCTTTAGCTTCTCATATATTATTTCATTTTTATCATCAAATACCTTTTTCTGGCTTAGATAAAACAATCTTTTTTTCAATAACGTCTCTTTTTTATCTTTAACTTCTTTGAAGTTGACTTTATTTTGTAAAGATTCTTCCGAGGTCTCTGCAATGGATTTCTGAATCGTTTCTTTTTTTGGTGTCTTTTTAAAAAAATCTGAATCCAACTCAATGACTTTTTCCTTTCGCAATTGAACATTATCTTTTGGTTCAAACGGCAATATTACTTTTGCAGGATTTCTGTGCATCCACTTACCATAATAACGGGCAAATCTAAATGTTGCTGAGTGGATTGTAAGAGTTTGCAGCAACGGGCGATATAAAGTGTTCGCCATTGATAAAATGTGTATTTTCTTTTTCCTATTACATTCAATGGTAAAACTAAATAATAACCTCCAAAGTTTGCTTCACTGCCATAACAAACACTGACAGCTGACAACTAAACTGACAATGACAATGACATCCATGACTTATTGCCGCCATGCGCTGACAATTTGTAAAGGTAACAGAGTAAAATTAGACAAACCTTTATCTATGGCAAATATAATTTTTATTTTAAAAAGAAAAAATATGAAAATGGTTCCTTTCATTTAAAACTTAAGTACTTTTGATAAATAAAACCGCGTCTAGCAAAAATACTTTTTTGTTTTAGTGTTGAATGACCAAGTCATCTTATTTCAAACATTTACCGCCATTACAAAGACCTACCTGTGCGCAACATTATAGAAATATAGAAAACGATGAAAGATTTTTATTCTTCTTCTATTTTTTAGTAAAAGTACTTTTTAAGCTGGAAACAGGACAGGTTCCAGTTGGTTAATTTTCATAATTTGTATTTTAAATAACATTGCTGCCAGCCTTTTTTTTTTGATCCTAGCAATATTCAGCAGCTTGTTACTTACGTCAACATTCGACTTATTATTTCAGATATTGTCATCTGTGAACATCAGCTGAAAATTATCGTGTTTATGCGTAGTATTTGTGTTTATTTTTATATTGTTGCAAGTGATAGACAAAATGGCAACAGGAGTAAAACCTCGTGACGATGAATCTACTCTTACAAGAACTGATATCGAGGCAATTCAAGAAGCTATGAAAAGTAAGAAATTTCGAGAAATGTTAGCCGACTACTGCGATGAAGTACGTGACCCGGCGAATCAAGCTCTCTATCAAAAAGAAATGACCCAATTGGAAAAGGAAAGGGGCTATGATATCACTTTTATTAATCCTAAAGGTGGCTATGTTATTAAAACAAGCGTCGCTGGCGATAGAAAAGCGTTTATAAACATTTGTAGTAATGAGAACATCGGCAAACCGTCACATTCCGTGGAGAGTGTAAACGGCCAGAAAGGTATGAATTGGCAAATCCCTTATTCTTTGATTCCTCCAAGGGAAGATTATGATAACAAGAAACAGCGGTGTGTAATTTACGATGTTGTTTTTCACCCTGACACATTGCGCATGGCAGAGGTTAACGAACGATTTCGAGAAATCGTAAACAAGACGGCTTTCGATGGTCTCCAAAGTACTTATAAAATTCATTTGGACATTAACAATTGTCGTTTTCCTAAATCCTTCTACAAAGGTATGACAACTTCAGCAGTTGTTAGAAAAGAAGATCCCAACTTTAAGCCTCCAACAGAGGATGAGAGCGAGAAACTTTCGCCGGAAGTTATAGAAAAATTGTATCCTCAGCATAATTACACAAACCATAAAGAGCCACAGGAAAGTAGTGAGATAAAAACTGCCACAAAGAAAAGAGCTGGGTTTGAGAAAAAAGAATTCTCACACTCTCTGGATGAAGGCTACACAATACCTAAATATGTTATTAAACAACAGAAAAATATAGACTTGCAAGACTACACCTTCCATAAAGATAGCAAACAATATTCTGCAATCCCAAGTCAATTAGTTGTGGAGATTAACTTGCCTCTAATTTCTTCTACTACAGATTGTATTTTGGATGTAAATGATAAATCTTTAAGTTTAGTTGTGGAAAAACCTGCCAAATACAAACTTAATTTGACACTTCCATATCCAGTTGATGATAATTGTGGTAATGCCAAATTTGACAAAACAAAGCACATATTAATTGTTACTTTACCAGTGATAAAAACTGTGAAAGAAAATGTTCATGACAATTCAAAGTTGTTAAAAGTAGACAGTGGTGTTGAAAGTGAAGAAAATTCTGGTTCCCAAAGTGAAGATGATACCAATGAGCAGAAAATTATTGTGCTAAGTTCTAGTGAAAGATCGGAATCTAATCCTCCTGAATTAGAAAAGGAAATTACAAAAGATGAACCATTCTTGGAAACCTCTATTAGTTACTTACTGCCATCTTATACACATAACTTCTTAGATGATGTAATAGCTTTCACTTTCCATGTGAAGAATACTGAACCAGAATCGGTAATGGTGAAGAATGATGGTAATGAAATTGCCATAAAATTCACAACGATTGGTTCAGGTTTTGTACCAGTGCATCATGCAGCTATTATTGTCTTTGAGGAAAATATTAAATTCAAGACAGTCACTGGAGAAGCTTGGGATAACAATGTGATCCTTCAGCTAGAACTTGCTGGTGATATCCCACAAAGTTTCAATATTGGTCTAAGTAAAGATTCCATGACCAATGAACACTTAGATGCGTCTCAGTTAAAGCAATCTCAGATGGAAGAAAGTAAAGTAATTAATCCTCAAGATGAAATTCAATCACCATTTGTTGAGGTTACTAACTTGGGATTGGAGACAAATATTGTTGTCTCATCTAATTGTGGTAAGGATGAGGAATGTGAAAGGGAGAAAGAAAATGATATTGTTTGGGTGAATTCTGGTACATGTGAGAATGGAGCTAAGAGTATACTTCGTAAATCGATGTCAATGATGCGTAGCTTTTCTGAATCCAGTGTGGGAGATGTTGCATCATCAATGGACTATATTAGTTCTGATTGCATCCCGGAAGAGTCTAGTTTGAAAAAGACTGTTAGGTTTAGTGATGTTATTGCGAGGCAATTCTACAGGTTAGCGTTTTAATTAGCATTAAGGTTAATATGTAGTACAATAATAGCGCTAATTAATCATTTTCGTATAAGTGATGAATCAACAGATGTTAAAACTTTTCCATGTACTACAAAACAAAATAAACATGTTTGTGTCCAATCTTCAATTTTCCATTAATCTACAAATGTTATCTTATCTCCCAAACATAATCTCACGTGATAGGCTTGTTTTGATTACGTCAGTTATGTCTAAAATTGTATCACAGCGACGTCAGTTACCAAAAATAATATAAATGTTGTTATGTTTTCAGATATAATTCATCTATAGAAGGTCAAAAGAAGAAAAATCAAAGAAGGAAAAGTAAAAAACGGAACCAGGAGAGACGTAAAAGCGAAAGTGAGGCTGAAGAAGAGACAAACAATTCTATTAAGGTAAACTTTATTCTAAATTGTTTATATTAATACTGCGAAATAGTGTCTTTTATTTCATAACAGTACTTGCTTTCGCCCCGCGACCCCTCCGCGAGGAATTAAAAACAAACAAAAGTAAATATCCTATGTGTACTTCCAGACTATCCAATACATCTATGCCAAATTTCATTGAGATCTATTTAGCATTTTAGGTTCCAAACTAACAAACATCCGTACGTCCATATAAAAATTTACATTTATAATATTAGAGAAATAGTAGGATTAGTAAGATTTACTTACTTAATATTTAGGAATTTGAGTTTTAATTATATTTTAAATGTTTCAGTCGTCAAAGCCGAGGCTAAAATCTGTGCTAAAACAGAGACGTGACAGCGGGCTAGCTGATACATCAGATGCGGAAGCTGAATGCAAGAACATGCCCTCTGACTCTGAGTTATCCTGTGACAGCACCAATAGTGGCAAGAAAGATGTTAATGCTAATACCGGAGATAGTTCTCCACTAAACATAGTCGATAAAAACGGTAATACAAGTAAAAACTTTGAACCTCACATATGGAAGTCAAAGCAGCAGCCAACCAATGTTAAGAAAAACCCAGTGACTTGTGATATAAAACATGTTACGGATTTCTATAATCCAGAAAAACTAAACAAAGGTCAATACACCGAAGTTATGTTTAAGAATGATCTCATATTTGATTTGGACATGTAAGATGTCCCATTTCAAAGAAGCCATAAGTATATAATGATATTTTAACTTAGTATAGCACCAGTAGTTTTGTTGTGTAGATTTTTGAATTTGGGGAATAATTGTTTTTTCTATCTTTCCATTTTGTGTAATTGTTTTTTGCATGGAAAGATATCTTCCTATATGTTAGCTTAGTTTATGACAATGGTTTTGTAAATTTAAATATTTACTCATGTATCAATGATTTATTCATCGTTTGTGTCAATTATTGAGTTTAAAGATGTATTTACAAATTAAATAAAATTAGGAATTCTTCAATTTTACAAAGCAAATAAGATAAATGTAAACTTAGTTGAAATAATTGGATAAATATTATTAGAGCAGGCTCATTTTTGGACAATATTTTATTAGGAATGTTTTTAAAGGTACAAATTAGGTTATTATTGTGACAACACATTTATTAACTGGCAACACCTACCTCTAGTTTAGTTATACGAAAGTTTACACCGTCATAGAGTAAATATCATAGACTAACGACATTTTAATATAATAATTTTCGAATATTTTAGAGAATGTATTTCCCGGCCACAGGTACAGAGGTACTTGCTCAATTCTTGTTAGTGCCTTGTTTAAAGTATTTTAATTGACTACTGTTAGTATTGGGTTCAGCTAAGAAATCCAAATGTTTAATTGGTTTGAGCTGTTGTCATAAACCATGCATTTAATTTTGTTAGTATGTAGTGTAGTGTGTATTTAAATTTAGATATGTTTAACAAAAAAGTTTAAACGGAGAATGTGATGATTTAATTAATGGTTTAATAGAAAATCATAATGTTATCGTTTTTTTTTAATCCCTTAATTGACTACCTTATATCTACATAAGATATTTGCGTAAGCTCCCTCTTGATATTAACCGATCACAACTGACCAGAAGGATAATTTTTAATCTATTTTATGTACTGGCATTAAAGAAAAAAGCCATAAAGTCATTGAAAAAGTAGTAGTAGATAGATTTCGGTGCAAAAGTCGCGTTAGTTCACTATTTCGGACACGCCATAGCCGGTGCGCTGTGGGCGCGGAGCATTGATTAGAAAACCCTTGATATTTTCAGGGACTTATAAATCGACGTTAAAAAATTGTAAGTAAAATTATTCACGTTACATAAATAGCTGAATACATAAAGAAAAATTCAAGTGGCCATTTGTTTTAAAATATATGTCAAGTGAGAAGAAAATGTACCATGCGCACATTTCAAGGTTTTTTCCCTCAAAATAAAGCTAAATTGGGCCTTCTTACGATTTATTAAATTTAACGATTCCAGTTTGTTGGTGTTTTGCATCTGTCGACGATTATTCATGATTGAGGGACCAATAATATTGAATTATGTGTTGTGTGTCATAAATACGGCGCTGAGAATTTCGGAGCCGCATTTTTTCATAAATTACTAATGTATAGTAAATATGTAAAAACGATACGAGATTTCTACCACTTTCATGTCCTTGTGGTCAGTTTGCTTTGACAATTTACGTGTCCCGGATTCGATTATAAGTCAAACATCTCAAAACAACTAATCCATCAGTCACGTACATTTTGCATATTTCTTAATGTTTTCAATAATGTGCAAGAATTCTGCAATCTTGATAGTTTTTTAAATTCATATTTGGTATATTGTAGGTATTTTTAAACATGTATAAATCTAATACCTTTCTGACGGTTAGCTCTAATTTTAATAAGTAGACAAGTAGTAAAATAAATATATTTCTACATTGAACGTTGAAAAGACAGCGGGTGCCATTTTCCTTTTGAGCGAGTTTGTTTGTGCGGAGTAGAAATTAATTTGGTGTGATTTCTCGGGTGAAAAATAGGGACCCTGCACAAACAGCGAGGTAACAACAGATTTGCATAAGGAAGTGTTTATGAAGAAAATTTTCTTATTTTTGTTTGTTTTTTTACTTTTTTAAAACATATGTTTTTGTTTCGTATTATAAATCTAACAAACGGCATGTTTTATAAAGGGATCAACCCTACTTCAGTAATTATTTATACGCTCCGTATTTTACTTTTCGTAACTTACGTTTAACTCCTAAAATCCTTATGAAATTGAAAGGGTAATCCTGAATAATATAAGTACGGGTACAAGCATGTTTGATCCTATAATCCCATGATTAAAATGAGTCATTTCAAAAGATATATGTAAAACTGTTTGGAAGCTCAATTTCTTGATAAGCTTTTCGTAATATAGTGTGATCTAATATTAAATACAAAAATTGAAATAAAATGTCGTAATAAATCTGTCGGAAGTTGTTGAAAAAAACACGCAATATAAAATTCACTGACTCGCCTTTGTAACACAATGCTATGGAGGTTATCCGATCGATTCCGCTATTAGTTTTTATCGTGGAACAGCGAAGTACATGCTTTTAAGATAATAATAAAAACGAATTGTTATCTAAATATACTCCGGTTAAATGTTGCAATTGTTTATACGATGTCAATATTATGTGTAATGCAAGTTAGTACATACAGTTAGTACGTACAGTACAAAAAATGTAGGAGTCACGGTAGGTAACGTTTTTTTGAATTCTTACACACTTGGTAGGCGCTGAGTAGTATTAACATAGTACTCAGCGCCTACCAAGTGTGTACGGCAAAGAAACGGTTGATAAGTAATACGATACAAAAATTGTAATCACCAATCTTAGCAGTCAATTATTGTGAAATCTTGTAGGAAATGATTAACTGTGAATCGGGCAATTTCCGTCCTCGCTTGAAGACGATATTGGAACACAGGTTAGCTGTAATTTCGAAATGTGCACATTTCACTATTTATCGTCGCGTCACTGGTCTCTAATGAACTAGCCTTTGCCTGCAACGCCGTTCGCGTAGAATTAAAAAAAATAAAAGTGAGTAGTCTGTATGTTGTTCCAGACTATCCTACACATATATACCAAATTTCATCAAAATCCGTTCAGCCGTTTAGGCTACAAACTCTAAAAAACATCCATCCAATTATCCATCCATCCAAACTTTCGCATTTATAATGTTGAACGTATTCGGTAATTTAATTTCATCGAAGCATGATCCATCTTAAGACAAAATCTTGAAAGCTCACTTAACCTTTTTCAGTAACTTAAGAGAACATTATCTAACACTACTGGGCATCTCTGTTGACACTGTAACTTGTCAAAAGGATCAAGGACCGAAATGTTGACATATTACCTTATGTTGATCAAAACCCTTGCTCCCTCTTGATAAGTTAAATATATTATCCTAGCTAATCTGACGGATTAGAGATTTTTCACCATAGAACGCGGAAACATGCCGATCGTCCATTCTTTTGGCTTCCATTACGCAATATGAAAAGTGTGTTGCATATACCAAAAATAAGTGACAGAAAAACATTATTATCTTTAGTAGTGATTTCCAAGTAAAAGATACTAGTATTACTGAAGATTCTCAACAAATGTGTTGAAATTTCTCATCCGTAGACATAAAAAGCAGGAAATGTACAATACATAATTCAGATTACCCATTTTACGGTGTAATGTAGCGACGTATGGGAGCTGAGGAAGGGCTTTCCTACGCTTATCGTTCCGCTGCGGCGTTGTTACTCAGTTATCCTAATGGAAATCGATACGTTTACTATTATATATAAAAGGCTTTTCCAACGTGTTCCGGCTTCAAGCATTAGACCTATTCTGTACATTTATTTTCCCATAACAAATACGAAATAACATTAAATAATAATTGTACATATTCTTTTTCAAGCATATTATACATATAGTCGCAACTTTAGGTAAAATTTGTAGAAAACGTTATTAAATGTTCACTATAAGATAGAAAATGTAAAAAAGATATCTGTACACACCAAAATATACAATATAGTACGATAGTTAAAAAAACACGTTCCGTGAACACATACAAAAATAACTTGAATCTTAAATAAACCAACATCATTATCTCTTAATCTGAACAAAAACATTTTCCAGACATCGATAGCAGACATTTCAATCTGTAAGTCCGGAATCAAGGGAAAAATCGGACGTGCAAAATTAGAACGCACGAACGGACACGCCTACATTGTTAGATAAAATATAGATAAAGCTAGATATTTCTATACTTGTTAGTTAAAAATAGTTCATCGATTCAATAGACAATGTAATTAAGAATTTTTGATACAAAATTTACCAATCTTATTTAATATTATAAATGCGAAAATTTAGATGGATGGATGGATATTTGTAAGAGTTTGTAGTCTAAATGGCTAAACGGATCTGGATAAAATTTGGCATAGATGTAAAGCATAGTCTGGAAGAACACATAGGCTAGTTAGTTTTATTTTTCTTAATTCCACGCGAACGGAGTCGCGGGCGAAATCTAGTGTTGTACAAATATATTTTTCTTGAATCTTGTTTAGAAAAAAATAAAAGAATGTAAATAAGATTTGAAAAGGAGATAAATCGATGTATTTATAGACATTGTTTTAACACGTATAGTATGCCAATATCATAACCTTGATGTAAGATTTGATACAAATTCTTTAAACGTAAATATCGATAACATATTTACGTAACTACGTGAACAATTCGCCAATAATTCGATAATCGTAGGCGTTAACTTATCAAATCAAATTTTATCAGATTGGATTCCAACTCGATTGAACTTTGTAACCGCAATATTTCATTCGAGTTTATAAATTATATTAACATTACTTTGATTCGCAAAAAATGAGATAACTTCATTAATTTCAGAGTTTGTATGTTTGGAAACATTGGCTAAAAGAAAACGACATGAGCCGGTAAGTGGAACCACCCTCCTCCATTACGAAACATTAAAATTAGGTTAAAAATTCTCTTTAAAGTAGCCGTTCTGAACCAGTTTGAAAAATGTAAGAGGTTATATGTACTTCTTAAAGTAAGTGTTTAAAAAATCTAATAAGTAGATGTTGCCAAATTAATAAAACATGAAAGTACTTTAGAAAGTAATACATTTTACATGTACAAAAACTGTAGATGTTTTCAAAATCCAAACTTTTTAGATGACCATTTTTAAGAGCGGGACATTAACATAATTTCAGATGAATTGTCACCCCAAGTCAACGCCACTTATAACATGAATGCGTAATGAGGGTTTCACGAGCCTCATTACCTTCAATTTTTATATTTTTCCCTTATACCTACTCCTATATAAGTATCCTAATTTAAATACGTACGTTTTTCCTAACTGGTTTTTCATTTTAATGTCTACGTCTCCAGAAAAAGGGCCTTCATTATGGTCTAGGAAACTTACACAAAAGTATTTGAAACGTTCATCATACCACAGAAATAGGCCTGTAAGCGCTTTGAGATGTTATTACTGATTTGTATCTAAAACATCTTCACTTCTAAATAAACAAGAAAACACGTAAATAGCTTTTTCAATTAGTGCCTAATGGAGAAAAAATATAACTGAACATGACCTTGATTCCTTGTGCTTTCAGAGACGTTATTTTTCTTTGTTTATTGCAAATAATTAATGTACTGTGAAGTTGTTTTCTTAGAACCTCCGTCATCCAATTAGCAAATTCTTTGTACAAATCTTGTAGAAAAATATTCATTTTGAAGTCTCGTTTTTTTT